ATCAGTACGATAAATATACCCCCACACCGGAATGATTCCCGATAGTATCCGTTTTTCGTCCCTGTAATTCAATACTAGAATATACACCCAAAACCCGAAAAATACTGATATAATTCCACTTATACTCCCTGCATATGAACTCTATAATTTATAATTACCCCAAACCCTATTGAACAGTATACTACATCAGAATCATTGATCGTCCTGGCGGTTGAGTTCTGTTATTGTGGCTTGTGACATGAAGCTTGTTGAACGAATAGTGAAGAACTCCGGCCCGCTCTTCCCACGATCCTTTCCACCCTATGGGCCTGCGTTTTGTTCCTAGTTTTCCTATGGTTTTCCCTACATGTCCTATGTTTCCCCTAGTTACTAGTTTTGCCCTATGTCATTCCTACTTGTCTATGTTATTCCTCTTGTTCTCCTATGATTCCTATTTCACCCTGCTTCTCCCCATGTTTCCCGTGTTCCCTGCAAACCTGGAATTCGCATAGTTTTCCTAGTTTTCTCCTAAATTGTGGTTTTGGAGTTGCTCTAGGATTAGCACTATTGAGCCGGACATAGCTAACCATAGGGTCCTGAATGTATTCGTAAGGTTATTCCCTGGTCACTTTCGTATCTCTACACTACAATGTACCCAAATGCCTCGTCGAAGTTTTCGGTATATTCACATGGTGCACATGTTGCTTGGAGCTGCATGATCCCCTCGAGGTCTTCAAGATCCTCAGCAGGGCTCCTTGTTGCAGCCTCCGCGGTGGCAGCTGCTGTGGAAGGTGCCCCGCCGTGGTTCTGAGAGGTTGACGGGAAATCGTTCAGGCCCGTGTCTCCGAAAATAGCCACGTGCCCCCCGCGATGTTCCAGTATACATTATAGTTACAGCATACCCACGTATAATATGCAAGTAGTAGGGGACCGTGATATGGCAGTAATTGGAGTATTCCTTACAGGCACCGCGAAGTTCCGGATCCAGCCTGAACTGCAGGATCCACGCGCAGGCGCATCATCATGAAGCAACCCGGCTTATCCTTGCTTTCATAAAAAGAAGGGGTGCACGCTTACTATATTGGTGGTGTCCGGTACCCTCAACCCCAAAACCATTGGTGTAGTTTAGGGTTTACTGCTTCAGTTTTAGGGTCCAGGGGGATGTTTAGTTCTTCTCTGGGTCTCCCACTCATATTGGGAGTGCTCCAGTGTTAAAGACCTTGTAAGTGCCTTAGTCATACATTGCCTCAGATCCCAATCCTAGCTTACCTTACCACTTCTATACCCCAGTACCTGATTGTTGAGGTCGGTTTAAGCTACCCGTGATCGCATGATCAGATTTACGGGCCATCAGGCCCGTCGAAACTAAAACCCACTAAAGTCGCTAAAGTGTTAAAGCCACTCGGATTCCATGCCTTCACAGGAGTACAGCAAGGTTCCCTGGAAGAGTCTTTTCCGAACTACAGGGCCTGTCGAAGCTTCGTCTTTTCATGAGGTTTAGGCTCTCTTTAGGCCCTGTGTGTGTGTGTGTCTGTCGAAATGGGCTGAGAGAGGGAGTCGCAGAAACTGAGTATGCATGTTATTTCCTTGGTATCCGTGTTCTGCAGCCTCGTGAAGTGTTGGACTCGGGGTTGCGTCCGCTGGTTCTGCTGTGGATCATAGCAGATGCAAAACTCAAGCGCAAGCTAAACAATCGTGCCACTTCAAAGACAAACCCTCGCAGCCCCGAATCCTGAAACCCGCAAAACTCCGCCGCTTGCAAGAGGCATCGCCACGATAGCTTAGCAGCCATCCGCACGAAGGGAGTGTGGTGCAGGAGTTGGGCTAACCTCTCAAGCAAGCTTCACTTCATCTACATCTCACCGGCCCTAAGCCCTAAACCCCCTAATAAACCCTATAAATCCCCCCTAAACCCGCCAAGCGCGCGCCTAAACCCCCAGAGTCGCAGCAGCCAAGGCAGACCTGCGCTGGTTACGAAGCTTGGCCTGGCAGCGGCGCTTCGATACCCTATAAACAGGGTTTTTGGGGCCTACCCATAGGCTCCATGGTAGTTCCTTTATGTGGTTCATATTTAGGATCCTATAAGGTAATCCCAAAAAAGAACCACAATGGAGCCTATGGGTAGATCCCTTAACTCCAAACCTTGGGTTAAGGGCTTAGGGCATGGGCAGAGCTAGTCTCTACTGGCAGTTCCTGTGTGGCTCCACGTGTGGTGCTCAGCACTCTGAGTAGGCCTGCAGCGAGGTACAGGCGCACGTACACTGAAGTTCATGGCACTTGTCAATCGCGGTTCCAACGGTCATGGAAGAAACAAGCCGAATTGTCGTAAGCATCAGCATCGCCGTCATCGTCATATTGATCAGAGATCTACATTCCCTTGAAGGTGGTGACGCCGAACTAGGCTTCTGCTCTGCTTTCTAGGTCCCCTGAAGGTCCCCTGACCTTTCAATCAGCCTCCGTGATCAAGGCCCTACAATCCTAGAGCCCCTAAGCACCGAAGCCGCCCCTAAACTGCTGAAGCTGCCTGAAACCTTACAGCCCTTTATTTTCTGAGATAGCCAATGGGAGAACTTTAAACTTTTTGGCTTTATATATTCGGTCTATCCTAAAAAGTTTGAACCTTTGTTGGGCCTGGCTGTTGAAGAAGAGAGTTTTTGATCAAGGAAGCAAGGAGCGCTGCGTTGCCACGGCTTCGTCTACACGCTCCGACCCCGGGACTCCACCGTATGTTTTTGTGTTTACCTTACCCTGTGCTTCCAGGGACCTTGCTATTGGGTCCTTAAGGGCTCTAAGGCCCTGACTTTAAGGCCCTTGGAAGCCTAGGGTGATGAAGCAGGACTTATGTTATAGGATGTTAGATAAGTTATCTCAGCTATCAGGCTTAAACCAAGCGATTCTGGAGTAGGTCTTGCACTATGAGTAGATTCTCGCCTGAGGGTCTTCCACGGCTGTATGATGGTTTTTGTTTATGAAGCAGGGTTTTTTGTATAGGGCGTACCAGCAATACACCACCCATATTGTACACATATACGTTATTGCCTCGTATAGTAAGACAGATCATCTGGCAGCCGGGTATGTGCGGTTTACTTGCACAGATACAAAGAGTCACCTACTTTCCGGCTTTCTGTGTCTACAGGTACTCTTGCACACAAATCACCTACTTCAGGCGCTGCGTGACTGGTCTAGCCTGTATGGAACGATTGAAACATAACAACATCACCTCCCCAACGCACGATTCTATACAACGAAGTGTGTCATTTGCCTGCATTCGGTTTTGCATCCCTGCTCTCTGCTGTAACCCAAGCCACAGAAAGCCCAATAAAACGCCCACAAGTCCCACAGACCCACATAAAGCGAAAGTGACGCCCCTCGAAAGCCTTGAAGAAGGTGGATCGCCGCGCCGGCGCGTCACGCTCAGCTTCTCCAGTTTTTGTGTGTTTCGTTGAGATTCACCCTATGCTCCCAGGGACCTTATGATTGGGTCCTTCAGGGGCCTAGGGCCCTAACTATAAGGTCCTTGTTGGAAGCCTAGGGTTAGGTCTTTAGGGCAACTTTAGCGCTTGTAGCGTGAAGGGGGTTTAGGAGTTTTGGGGCTGCCAGGGGGTAAGGGTTTAGGCTGTTCAGGGGTTTGTGATTTGGATCGTGAGTCAGTCTAACCATGCTTCTACGTACTTGCCTGATTTTTTTCTGATCTCGTTGGTGACACACAAATGCTGGGATCTCCAGGTGCTGTAAAACTCCGACCAATTAGTAATGCGGCTTTCCGACTCTATTCGTCGAGTTCCCGAAAAAGAATCAAACTTTAGACCGCCAACAAATCGTGAAGACCCCTATATCATACCTGGGGAGGTTTGAGGCGAAAATGATTCAGAACTGTGCCCCCTGAAGCAGTTTCCAAGGGTGTAAAGAGGAGAGAAGGGGCAAGCCCTTGTCTCATCCAAATTCTTCAGGATCAGGTTTCAGAGTTAGGGCTTTAAGGTTTGAGTTTTGAGTTTCAGGGTGACTCACCTGCGAGGAATCATAATCAGATCCCGCAGTAGCCCCATGCCGAACCCGAAACCCTAAACCCCTAAACCCTATACCCTAAACCCCTAAACCCTAAACCCTACACCCTAAACAGGAGCTGCATCACAGGGTCCAGGTAGCTCCGGAGGGAGCTTTGGGCAATCGGCTGCTTCAGGATTCAGGGTCAGATTTCGGGATTCAAAGGGTTAAATTGTTTGTCCAATCACCAAAGAAGCATTACTAAGCCTTAAGAAACCCAAGTAAGCCTTATTAAAGCCCAATAGGACCTATTAAAGACTGGTCAGCACTACGTGTTTCGGGGTGCCCAGACCGGTGCCATGAGTGAGCCCAAATCTGCTACTTCCTGAGACCCCTGCGCTTCCCAACAGCGGAGCCCTGAACTTTTGGGACATCTCGGCATGCCGAAGCATCAAGAGCCCTGAGGAGAAAAATACGACGATCGTCACCAACATGCAGGCACCGGCACCTACCCGGTCATTCTGTGGGGTTTGTTCCATCGTTCTTCTCCATCGTTGCAGCACTTTTGCGGCATTGTAACTATGGTATTCTGTTCTACTGCCATTAGATATGGACCCTGTTACTGCCTCTTGTTACCATCTCATACTAGACTCGACCTGCTGTTCCAGTATGTTCCAGTGCCTGTATACAGCACTGGATCGTGCCCTTGGCAACCCACCTTCGATCCACGCAGCTATGCCGGCACCCAACAATTGCTGACAAGCAGGAAAATCTGATCAAAGGCTGTTTGCGATCGTTGCGGGAAAACTTCTGGGGTCTAAATACTTGACCGTGCTATTAGGCAAGGGTTTTCGAACCTATGCAACCTAGTCTGATTATTCATTCCTCCATTGCCGCGGGAACCTTAAAACCCTGAACCGCCTGCCACACACTGATTCAAACACTCGCTTGGAGTGAGGTTCCAGAGCATGCAGTCGTACATAGCGAAACCCTGACACAATTGCCTCTCCATGCCTTCAGCAGACTCCTGCCGCGAGGAAGCAGATCGTGTCTTGAAGATCCTCAGACAGCACGAGGCTGCCAGTGGTTCCGGTTTGGGAGTGGATGCAGCCAAATTGAAGGCCCTAGTTGCATCCGAGAAGCCACTCATCTAGATTCCTTGACAGGATCAGTACCACGCCATAGACACGGAGGCTGGCCTGATTGTGTGTGCCGGATCGGGGGGGCGGGCTCGACAACAGGGTGCCGATGTGAACCGATGTTAAGTTTGGTTACACATGCGGATGTGAGTGGTTGGTTATAGCTGCACGAGCAGCCTCAGAGCAGCATGCAGGTTTTAAAGTCTTGCTCATGAGCAAGTGTTGGCACGAGAGAAACAATCATGTTTTCGACACTTTGTGGAAGAATGTCGGCAGTGGGTTAAGAGTCTGATGGCCCCATGAATGGGAGTCCTCATTAGTAACGAGTCTGGCCACCATTCTCCTTGCTCGTGGTTCTGTCTATTAGTTGGGGAGACTACGACCACTACGACGAGGATTGCCAGGGAGGCCAGAGGCACCACCACGTTGTCACAGCTCGTGCTGTTGACTGGTATTTCGTTGTTTAAGTTTGCCTTCCAATGGTATGAGCCGAAGGCCCATTGAGCCCTAAGCCCGCCTAAGCCAAGGAGGCCGAATCTTGTCCCTGAAGCCGTAAAGTTCCGAGTATGACAAGTCCCAATATCGAACGCCCTGAATAAGCCGGCCCTGACAACCGCCTTCATTACTCAAGCCTCAATGGCTAAACCCTTAGTACGTTAAGCCCCAGAGAGCAAAAAGAGCAAAGTCCTTTAAGCCCTTCAAAACACTTCTAGAACCCGTCCTGAGCCCTTCTCAAGGCCCAGAAACACTGGGACCAAAGCACGAGAGCTCTAGGTCCGTGGTTGGACCCCAGAAGTAACGCCCTACGGCCACGGAGAGGCCTGTGGGGGTGGAGAGTTGGTCGTTATTGAAGCGCTGTTCGATGTATGAAGACGCAGTTCAATGCAATTCAACGCATCGCGGTGGAAAATATTAGTATAAAGTCTCTGCGAGTGATGTACTACAGCGCCATGAGGTACATATCTGATAGCATGCGAAGCACCAGATAGCTTCAGAGATGATGCGTGATAGTATTGCAAATATACCGACAGCATAGACTTAGCATGCACAGAGCCCAACACATCTTATTCGAGGAGTTGTTGTTACCATAGACTTGCAGACCTGTCAACATGTACGACATCCTAAACCACGGCAAGCTCCAAAGAGCCCTTTCAAATCCTTGCAAGCTCCAGGTAGTCTGCTTCAGTATCTTCGTGGGCCCAAACGTGGATTTCGGTTCTGGCGCCCAGCTCCTTGTGGACAACATGGATGAGGCCATTGTGAGTTTTGTAGTAGGGAGTCTTCAACTGTCAGTGGTGCTTTCTCCTCTAAGCCCTTGCAGCTTGAGAAGGAGGCGAAACGAATATCCCCAAACTCTGAGAGGTGCAGGGTGCTTCGGGTTTGGAGTCTGCTTATGTTTCGGGCGCTGTTTGGGTGCAGAGACTTTGGGGTTTGAGGGGCAGGGCCGTTTTTGCATTCCCTGGCCAGGGCCGAAGTGCCTATACCAATATCCTCGAAGGCAGTTACCTGTGATAGCCACGTTTAGGGTTTGGGACTCTTCAAAACGGAGCGGGAAGCCATAAACACGATTATCGCTTAGAGGAAGTATCGACGTTGCATTAATCCGAGTTACACGAGCTGACCACCAATGGTAGCTTTTGCGCAAAAGCCTGAATTTCTGTGGTGCTTCGGCGAGAGTGGCCGACACAATTTCAGGAGCCAGAAACCTCAACAGGGTTCTGGGCTGTTCTCGAGCAGTCAAGGCTGCAGTAGCCAAAATCCTGTGATTCCCTCTCAGAGCAGCCATCGGAAAATGACTCTGAACGTAGATGGAAGATTTCACGCACCAAACAAACATGAAACGCTCCATTAAGCCCCTTTTCTAAGTGACCGCCATCTGTCGCTAGGATGGAAATCTCCGTGGCCTCGTGGAGCACTTTCGGGAATACTTCGAGGATCCCGGGATCAAGAAGGCAGGTGGCCCCATAGCAAAGGTGCGTTTGCCAAGTAGAAAGCATTATAAGGGCCTCCTACAGAGGGCATTCCAAGGGCCTTACTAGTACGAGCATGGTTTCTTTTGAGGGTTCCATGATATGGGATACAGAGGCCTGAAGAATCAAAATGAGATTTTGGGCCTTTGTATGCTACAGCCTGCTGCAACTATAAAGATAGCAGCGACGAATCAAACAGGTATGCTATTTGTAGTTAGTTGGGATGATTGTAGGCAAGTATTATTAGGTTTGTTCCTAAGGGCGTCCGTATCATAGTTAGGAGAAAAGATACCCATTAAAGCCTGTTCTACTTGTGAAGCCGCTCATAATGACAGACCCGGCAACCCGTGCTTCGATGTTTAGGATTTCGGGTCTAGTTTAGCTCCGGCTACCGTATGTTGAAGAGCTTTCCTAGAGGATCTGGCTAGAAGTGACGAAGACTTGCTTAACATGCTTGACTTGAGCAATGTCGACATAGTTAATGCAATTATGCTGACTTTGAAATATGGTGATTATGGTCAGTATTGTTGATACAGTTCTTATAGCCAGGTATTACATTATCTAAACCGAATTCCGCAAAACCTAAACCTTTGCCACAACGTTTGAAACTTCCAGCCACGACATCCTCCTTCAAGACCTGGTTCACCAAGCAGGTCTTCCAGAACTATGCCTTTGACCGGGCCATTCTGCTGAACCACGGGTGCCGAGTGGCGGGGAAGCTCAGGAAAAGATTTTTAGAAAGTGCAGGGATAGCTTTGTTCTGGTTCAGCTCCTTTGGGATTTGGGCCTTGTTCTTGTCAACTTTAGGCTTGAGCTGGCTGGATTGCGGATGTAGGGAGTCGGGGTTGCGGTTTAAGGCCTGGCTCAACTGTGCTGGTTTAGGACTTCGGGTTGAGAACTTCCTTGTCATTGAAGGAGCTGGTCCCGAACGATTTCAGGGTCCTCATAGTACAGGTTTTTATTTTTGTTCCTAATGATCTCCAAGACAGATGCTTGGGACTTTTCTTGAAGCTCTGGGCGGGCTGCTGCACTTGCCCGAGCGTGATTGGCAAAGAGCTTAGCGACTGAGGGCATGTTGCCAACGTCCTTCCAACGATTTCGGGACCAAGTCTCTGAAATATCTACGGATTTTTTCGCATTTAATTTGTAGAGGTGCCAAGAAAAGCTATTTGTGCCGATTGCGAGACCTGATAACCAGACACTATTGCGGGGCACTGCATTCTATATATGAAACTCGCATGCCCGGGCCCAACCAACAGCGAGCCGACGAGTCGTATAGGCTTTGGAGTTCAGAGACTTCAGTGTGCTTCTTCGGCCGCAGGAGGTCTCAAGAGCTTTTCGGACACATCCCACTGAAAGCCTTAATTAAACATGTCGGGGAACTACGAACTCCAAACCCAACATGTTTAGAGGACCAGAACCCCGAAAGCCCAGACATTACACTGAGGCTGGCTTCCACGCCGACACAATGCCACGGGCCCCGAACAACTTTCAGGAAAATGTAGTATGAAAAGGATAGCAAGGAGTTGTTTCACCTGCATTGGCTTTGGAGTCTGGAGGCCTCAGTGTGTTGTGTTGGCCTATAGGGGGTTTAGGGGTTTAGGGTTTAAAAGTTTAAAGCTTAGGTCTTTTGGAGAAGTCGGAGGTCTGAGTCTGCTTAAGCACCTTTCGGATGGGGACACCGACACGGCAGACATTTGTCTAAGTGCCTTGGAGAGGTTCCCAGCCCCTTGGTAGCCACAGGAGCCTGAGTTCCTGGTAGTGCCGCTCCCCTTGTAGTTGTTGAGCTACATGTAGTATACCCTGAGCATCGATTATTGATTCCGATCAACATGGTGGGGTACCGTATTGATTTCAGTGTAAAGCCAATGTGGGAACTGGTTTATATGGTCACGAAATCCATCTGAAATATGGCATGTAAAATCAATCATGGAATCAACCCTAAACCTATGTATACATACATACCATACATACCTACATAGCTATGTACATACATACCTACATACCTACATGCATACATGCATACATGCATACATGCATACATGCATACATGCATACATACATATACACATACATATACACATACACATGAACATTCCCATCATATTAAACTTACATGTCGTTTGTTTGCT